AAAATCGGTCGGCGCGCGTTGAGCGGAAACTTCAATCGATCATAACTCCGGAACCGTTCGGTTCCCCAGCTTATACGACCACTCGTTGGATGCGGAAAAAGACGAACAATTTAAAAAACTGGTTTTGGTTCAAATCAAAAAATGTGAAATTTCAGTTTAATCTGTTTAAAAGAAATTGTTTTTCCTCAAAAACTGAAAAAAGCACATAAGTTAAGTTAAAAATTTAATTTTGGGATTTTGACCTTTAGAATCTTAAAGTATGCAATTATAGACGATTTTTCGTTCAAACCAGGCCTCAATATCTTGTTTCGTTCGAAAGATATCGAGGGTCACAGGTTTTGACTTCTACCCCCCCTAGCGCCCCCCCAAGATTTTTTGGGGATCTGAAAATTTGGGGAAAGAAGCGCTCTAGTATTAGTAACTGATAGACGAAGTTTGAATAAGTTTTAGTGGGGGGGCGAAAAATGTCGTTTTTGCATACGGCTCTTTCCATATGTTCAAATGGAGAAAAGACAATGTTGCCAATTTGCTGGATCCATAAATATAAACTAATGTCAGCATATTTTACAATGGAAAGTTTTTCTTGTGTGATAACTTCTCTTTGACAAAATTATAGGTGCCTTCCATCAGAGAAGGAAGGAAATGTGCTTGTGAAACCAAGCTTTATAGTTATTTGTCTTTCGTATGAATCGACTACAATATTATAAAGGGTCTGTTGCCTGCAAGAAATACAGCCATAAATAAATATAGGCACCTTTTCTTTGCGGGTAAAATCGCACGAAATTCCCGTTGGGCACGTCAACAAGTCTGAAATGCATTCCCTAGCACAATCTGCGTAGTTTGCAACACGCTTTTTCAAGTTTCCCGCGTCTGCGGGAAGTTTTTCTCAATCACCGCCACACTATCTACACTGGTAAAAAAAAACCTCTTGGTTCAAGAGTGCAGTTTCTTGTCGCCGGATTTAAGAGTCTGCACTCTTGTTTCAAGCGGATTTTGAATGGAATCAATGCGAAATCCGCTTGAAACAAGAGCTCAAGACTCTTAAATCCAGCGACAAGAAACTGCACTCTTAAATCAATGCACCGCGGTATTGGTCCAAGAGGTTTTTTTTTTACCAGTGTATGGTCCCATGGCCCAATATAAGCGGCATTAAATCAAGGTAGATTTACACAGGTATGGACAGAACTAAACAACTGGCCTCTGATTGGCTCTCCAGCGGCCCCTTAACGTCAGCCATTTTGGATGTTTTGATTATTTTGATTTATTATGTTCGGTTTATCGTTTGTCAAAATTTTGTGGGATTTTTTTCACAATTTTGGTTATGCGATATTAATTTTAGCGTTTAAACGCACAAACGTTTGAATGTTAATTTGATTGTAATTTAATTAAAAAACGGGCCCCTTAACCTACGTCACGAGGTCATGTGACACGTACTGAGGCTCATGGGAAATTTTCAACTTTTCCATACCTGTGTAAATCTACCTTGCATTAAATCAGATATGTAGGTATGTTGAAACCTTGCAACATGAATTTTCAGGGGTTTTTTGAGTCATTAAGTTCAAATTTGCTAATATTTTTCAGAAAAATCCATTTTTTACTTTGTTTTAACTTTGGTGATACCTTGTTGACAAATCTTAAACTGAGGCTGCAAGATCCCGTCAACGCAATGGTTTAGTGGTCACCGCATCTCACTCCTCTCTCCGCGGGGTCCCGGGTCATCAGATTCTCGGGAGAAAGTTATGTTTTTTTTTACGCTTAAAAATTAATTTTTACATTGGAAGGGCTGTGAGATGCTATATATAGTAGAAAATCGTCATAATAATGTCGAGGTAACTTAAAACAAGCTGGCAAATCCAATACGTGGTGTTGGGAGAGCGCGCCCTAAGCATATGTCTGCATAAGTAGTCACTTCAGGCTTATCCTGGTTTTTAGTTTCTGAACGAATTTACTTAGAAACGCCTAAAAATATTTGTGAGTCATATTCATCCCACCAAAAACATTTCCATGTAAATATGAGCTGCCAAGCTAAAAATATAGACATTTGTCGCCTAAAATAAAATAATATCCCAGATAATAGACGACAAGTAAAATTTATTGACATTAATCTAAAGTTTCTCCTCCCTTCAACATACTATCGGGAAAACGCAAAATATAGACAAAAACATTTCAAAAATCGATTCTTTATCGAAATGTTTCGTAGTTCAGAGCAACTTCTGTCGTCACAGCTTGCGTTTGGTTGATTTACGGTCAGCCGCAAATGAAGTTTAATCTCCAGAGAGAGTTTAAGCACAACTCATAGGCTACTTGAGATAACGGGACCAAGTTTAACAAAAATAAATTTGTCAATTTAAGAAGCTATAATAGCAATTTGGACCTCATCCAATCTTGGATTTGAAAATTTCGAAAATTGGACTGAAAATGGGCCTGTTGCACCATACTTTTTGTTGTTGCTTTAATCGAGAGAACTAAGGCTCCTGGTGTCACAGGAATTCTCCCGGAGTTTTTTGATCACCGGAAACCCCCAAAAAATCAACTTAAAAATTTTGCCAATTTTCAAAACTGTCACTTTTACGCAGTAACGGATCCGCCATACTTGCGACGTCAAATGGTGCAACAGACCTGGTCTTTTCATCACTTACAATGTATTTTCCCATAAGGAATTGGCAGCCGCTTTTCAAGTGCAAATATCGAGTCAATATCTATGATTTTTTGAACAAAATGGAATTCAGAAATGGATACTGTTAGGGTCATCCCCTGAGGGGATGAGAGGGTTGGACACGAGATACTCAATGGGTGCAGGTGTGATTAGAGTCCCTTTATACCCAGAGTTACGACAACTCGATTATCCGCTGGCTGGCAGCCGGCCTTGGCTGGCCATGGAAGCCGAAACGAGTGCACCCAAACGAACGATATTGAGGGCTAAGGATCAGGAATCCTGCGATGTCTGTCACACAAAAACAACAACATCAACAAAGTGATCAATTAAAAAGAAAATGAGATTGGTTTGTGAATAATTTCTTAATCTATTTTCATTTTGGACCTATGGAAATAACAATTTACTCTTGATAAACCACAATTAGGTAATATTTTCATTATTCTTGTTCACATTCTAGGTACCGCCATCTTGGTGCACTCGTTTCGGCCTCCATGAGCGAGAACCAATCAGAATTGAATTTTTTTTTAGGCCACTTTCAGCCCAATCCTGGCCCAACCAAAAGTGAGTTGTCGTAACTCTGGGTATAAAGGGACTCTAGGTGTGATGACAAAACTGTATTGCGAGATGCCAAGTCCGACATCCCCGGACAGCTAGGCGACAGTGCTGCCTCAGGTGGCAATGTATAGAAGTACTTAACCTAACATGTTCCTTTTTTTTTTTTTGAAAAAAAATTGATTTTTAGAAAATTGTGAGTCAGTGGGCAAGGTACACTCTACTACAGGTATGGACAAATGGAATTTTAGAAAGTCGTCAAAACGCGTAGATTTGACAGCATCGAGAGTACGACTGCGAGGACCTGCGCGGCAAATTCACGGTGGGTTTTGCCCATGGTTTTGCCTAGAGTACCTATATTAAGAGAGTATGGCCACTGGGTCCCATGGAGAGGCTTAGGACCCAAAAATGGCGGTGCTTTGTTTTGGTTTTTGAGGATGGGAGGGGGGTCATTGCCAACTTTTGACGGCTATCACCAACCGCACTTGCTGCCAACCTTACTACATCCAAGATAATTTTTCTCAAAAATTGCACACGATTAGCCTTAAAAATATGTAAAGATGTCGCAATGGTGCATTTGAGGAAATTTCTCGTTACGATAAGCAAAGAAAACTACATTTTGAGTCATTTTGCATTACATTAATTTATGGCGTCCGCCATTTTTGGGTCCTAAGGGCTCCATTTAGCCTAAGATGGCTTAGCCAATCAGAGGTGGTAACTTCAGTGGCCATACTCTCTCAATATAGGTACTCTAGGTTTTGCCGACTGGCGACTTGGACGGTCAACCGTTGGAATTCGGCGGTTTACCTCGAATCTCCACCGCGGCGGTGCGTTTTCGGGGGTTCGGCACTCTCTCAACGTTGTGACCGACCGCCGCCATATTTGTTTACGAAATAATCATTACCATCCGATGTCTAGGGATTTATCCCTAGATCTAGGGATTTTCCGGAATTTCTAGGGATCTAGGGATTTTTCAGGAAATCTAGGGATTTTTTTTGATGAAGTAAAGTAAGCAAAAATCGACTTTTTAACCTCAATTTTAGCTTCGACAATCGAAAATATTTTTTCATCTATATTTTGTAGGCCTTTTCGGCAACACGATTTTCCCCGTAAATAAGCCGGAAATTAAAACGATTGCGTCACTCGATGTACTTGACATTCTACTGCATTCAACAGTAAAAAGACAATAAGAAGAACTCAACTAATATTCTTTCATTTTATTGGTCTGGATTAGCACTGCTTTCAGAGAGCGGCAAAATTCAAACGAGCCAATCAGATTTAAATATTGCAAATCGATATATCGAATGACGTCATGATTCTACGTTAAAAATGGCGGTTTTTTGCAAAATCTAGGGATTTTTTGGGGATATTTGAGCAAATCTGGGGATTTAGGGATTTTTAGCGAAATCTAGGGATTTTTTTCCTTCCCCGCTAGGGATTTAATATCGGAACACTGTAACCTTCTCGCACGGTCGCATGCCTAAGCATCGTGTGCTGGTCAATTACAGTATAGTAACTCCAAATTAATTTAATTTAAATCGTTTCAGTCGTTCCATTTTAGCCTCAATAAACTAAGCTCACCATTACGCGAACGTAAGTATTTGTTTAATTTTTGCAACTGTTTCACTCCACTTGTTCATTGTTCTAATGTCTTCATGAAGTGGGTTTTCCACCAGAATTTACGTATAAAAGTCTCCAAACGTTTCTGATTGATTGGTATGAATATCTAGTATTCTCAAATTTAAATGTAGTAGCGCTGCTTGATCTTGTAACTTTTAACTTCGGAGTTGTTTGTGATACCTCTTCGTTGATGCATCAGAGGTAACACCGGCCTCTTGCCGTAATGTGTCAATATTTGCAAAACACATCGAACATCCAACAAATTCCATTGCTCTCAGCAGTATAAACCATTATTTCAGTATTTTCCAGACCAAGTGCAAGTAACAGAGAGGATAAATGCCTAAATATCTCATGACGCTTGCTGCCTGTTGGGCTGATCGTTTTACTCGTGTTGGGGTCAGAACAAAGCTGAATCAATGGCTTTTCTAGTTTAGAGGAAAGGAATTTATCTCAAGAGAATCATTTGATTCTGTTGCGCAGCCTCCCATAACACAGCCAGACCTAAAGTCCACATGCTTCTTTTAAGGTCAGTAGCCAGTTGGGCTGAATGTACAATGCGTTCTCTCGTGAAATCTTACAATAATATTCGATTTGTAAAGATCTTAAACGCGAATTAATGCAGGCAATTGACTCCTAACAGAAGTTAATATAAGTGAAAAATTTTTTCTTAGGCCCCCAGCTACTTTATCTGCAAAGTGAAATCAACATTTTAACCATTTATGCTAGATATTCCAGAGAAATTCGCCAGTGATGAGTCTAAGTGTGTAGACTCTGATGGAAAATCCACCGGACAATGACGCTGGTGTTTTGAAGACAGTTACAAAAAAAAAACAAATGTTTGCAAATGCGTAACAGACAAGTACCGAAGTCTGAAGTCTACCATAAACGTACAACTAAACGTAGATTTGAAAGATTAGATTGAATGATTAAATGTAGCTGTGCTATTTCAGCTGGACCCGGGGAATCTAACTGAAGAAGTCTTGTGCCTGCGAGGAGGGAGTTGGGCGCTGCTGACACTCACACTTCACAGTGAAATTGACCAAAATTGTCCCAGAAAAATTTTAGTACTCTCACTGAATAAGGGGGAGGGGACAATCCCTATTTGCCTGATGTGTGAGAATTTTCACCCTTGTGATAAATTTTAATTTGAAAAGGTATGTTCCTCCTAGAGGCCCAACCCCTTTCTTGCTTGCACCATTTACATTTTTAAAGCAGCCTCAGTCTTGATAGCCTGCTGAATGGGCTCCATGATGAACAGAGATGCAAAATTGCATGCAATTTCATATAAGGTAAAATTTCATGAAAGTGGAACTTCTGCAATAGGCTCAGTAGGCCGTGGAATGCGTAGAATCAGTAAAATCTCAATATTTAACAAAATGAGAGTCAAACTCTTAATTTTATTTTAAGATAATTTTACGAGTGGTGTACACTCCTCCTTAGAAATCTGTGAACTTTCATATCATGTTAAATTTCATTTTGCATCTCTGATAAGTGATGACAAAAAATCTGTGAAAAGAAGGAATGTATGCTGAGGATGGTCGCTCATGACTCGTACTTCTGGCTGCTACTTTTTCTCTCCTATAATGCAATGATAAACGGCGACATTGCAACTTTTGTCCTAACGGGAGAAAACTTCCTTCATTCGACTATCAGGAATTAATAATAACTTGAAAAAACATTTAAATGTAAATGTTCATTAAGTACCTACGTGGTTGCTTCCAGTCCGCTCAAGGTGTGGATCTTGCCCGCGATCCGTAAATTCAAAACACCCGCGCAATATGCGCCGCCATCTTAGTTTTTTACATGAAAACGTTGAGGTGCTCGATCCCCGAACATGCACCGCCGCGGTGGAGATTCGGGGTAAACCGCCGAATTCCAACGGTTGACCGTCCAAGTCGCCAGTCGGAAAGATTCACCTTTATAGACTCAGAATGGTCATTCTATCTTTTTACTACAGGAAAGCTACATCGTGTCAGCATACCCACACGACCAATGAAAAACCGGCACATAAATGGTCATACTCTGTCTAAAAAGGTACTCTATGTAAATCCAACTTTGTTTAAATAAAGAAGCCCGAGTACGGAACTGTGGAGGGGGTACCGTTTGCAGGTTTAAATAGAGTCCCTTTATACTGAGAGTCAAGACAATAATGCGAATCCATTTCTGATTTAACCGGATTTTAGGCCTTCACAGTGTCACTAACGGGAATAAAGATTACATTTTCACCAATTGCAAAGATTATAATCTGTAATGGACCGAAGAATTTCGGGTTCGACAAGGAACAAACGGAATGAAAGAAGGAACGGAGAAAGAAATTTAAGAATGAGCCGATCAAAGATTACGAAAAACGTTCAATTTCTGTAATCTTTATTCCCGTTTGTGACTCCATGAGGGGTGTTGTCTTGACTCTCAGTATAAAGGGACTCTAGGTTTAAAAAGAAGCCCGAGTACGGAACAAAGACATAAAGACGCAGCGCTCGTATCTAAAAGCACGGGGAAAAAGTGAAGCTAGAGTCCCTTTATGCTGAGAGTCAAGACAATTCGGCTCATGGATGTCACAAACGGGAATAAAGATTACAGAATTTGAACGTTTTTCGTAATCTTTGATCGGCCCATTCTCAAATGCCTTTCCCCGTTCCTCCTCTCATTCCGTTTGTTCCTTGCCGAACCCGTAATTCCTTGGTCCATTCCAGATTATAATCTTTGCAATTGGTGAAAATGTAATCTTTATTCCCGTTTGTGACACTGTGGAGGCCTAAAATACGGGAACCAATCAGAAATGGATTCAAATTGTCCTGACTCTCAGAATAAAGGGACTCTAAGTGAAGCTAGGTTCGGCGCTGCGCGCTTGTGTGAGTGTGTAAATGAGCGCGGGAATCCATGGCGGCAAACGGAAATTTGATTTGAACTTGTCCTCTTGATTTTTGCACATTTCTTCTTTGAAACGTATTTTAAATTCCTAAAACGAATATACTAAGAAAGTTCGATCTGCGTCCTAATATAATACACCTATTTTTGCTCGGTAACAGGCAGTAATCTCACATAAAGTTAGTTTTTCTTCTGCTCATGGTGGTTCTGCAGGTTCAAACAGGCCGTTACAGTTCTAGATCAACGTTACTCCCAAATGAAATTAATCG